GCGATGGTGAAATTCCATCACCCGCATCATCCGCGCGATGGTGAAATTCCATCACCCGCATCATCCGCGCGATGGTGAAATTCCATCACCCGCATCATCCACGCGATGGTGAAATTCCATCACCCGCATCATTCGCGCGATGGTGAAATTCCATCACCCGCATCATTCGCAGAATGGTGAAATTGCATCATTCGCGCTATGATGAAAGTATATAATTCATATCATTGGCGCAATGGTAAATTACATCATTTGCACCATTCACGCAATGGTAAAATTATATAATTTGCATCATTCGCGCAACGATGAAATTACATAATTCACATTTCTGCAATGATGAAATTACTTTATACACATCATTTGTGCAATGACAAGATAACATTTGTGTCATTCACGCAATGATGGAATTTGCGTAAATTAAAGTTATTTGCGCAAATTAAAATTACATAATTTACTCATTTGTGCAATGATATTACATAATTCACATGATTCGTGCAAAGGAAAATTATATAATTCGCGTCATTTGCGTAATAACAAAATTATGTTAGTTGCTTCTTTTGCGCAAATGGTGTGATGCACATGACCGCTTCATGGCTCATATCAAATGCTCCTGTATAGGTATGGGCTTAATCAGGGTGGAAGGATTGTGGTCAAATCCAGGCCTGGCCTTAGGATTCATTTGCAAACCATGGCCTGGGAAATAGGAGCAGCGTTGCCCTCCTTGGCAGAATTCCTATGAGAAAAATGAGCAGGAACTTTTAAAGAGCTTTAATTGTTGCATCTTAATGGTGATAATTGCCTGAGAACACCCACCCCCAACTCTCATCGGCTCAGCCAACAGAATACAGTTTTCTTTAAGGAAGAAGGCTGTCGTGTTGATTCAGCTCCAAGGAACATCTGTAGTACTATAGAAGAGGGGTTTTCAAATTTTTCGGGCCACGGAACCTGTTAGGGTTTTGTTTTGTTTTTTAACTCTCTAGTAGTAGAAAACTGACTCTGCCTAAGTTTCATTTTTTTTTTTTCGTTCATCTCTCGCGGAATCTCATCAAATTCTTGCAGAACCCCAGGTTTTCGTGGAACATGCTTTGAAAATTCCACCATAGAGGAGTTGTGTCCCAGCATGCTGGTCTCCACATGTATGGGAACATGGCAAAAGGCCACATGGTAGAACTGACTCAGAAGCCGCCATCAGTTTGGAGAAAGCTTTGAAGGAAAGTGTTCCCCAAAATATCAGGTGGTCTCACAGTCCTCGTGGGATGTGATGCACTGTTGTTCAACATGAGTATCTCCTCGGGGTGTCCCTTTGCATTCAGTTCCTGAAAAGTGGGTATTGCAAACAGAGCATCTGTTTCCAGCTTTTTAAAGCAGCCGTGTCTTTTGCTGGGATCGGATCGCATGTCAGATCTGAAGCATTCCCAGCCCTGTGGATTGAGAACACATCTTTGATCAGAGCCGGCACTGCCCCATAGCTAAGAAGGAAGCAGATGCTGCTTTGAAGACATTGCTAGCCTCATTTTTCTATCTGTCCTACCTGATCTGGCAGGAAGGCCATGCTCTGGGTACTGTGGGCTGGACAGAGCCTTTTCTGCCGTAGCACCCACCTTTTCAAACATCATCCCCCAAGATTAGATTGGCCCCATCCATCCCTGTTGGCCTTTGTAAGGCCTTGAAAACTTGGCTTTGTGCTCGAGCCTGGGGCCTTGGGTGTGGGTTAGACCCCATCTCCTGGTTGAGTGGATGATAGATTAGTCAGTTCCCCATGGCTGGCTGGGGAATTCTGGGAGTTGAAGTCCACACAGCTGAAAGTGGCCAAGGTTGAGAAACACTGGATTAGATTATGCCCGGCTGCTATGTGTTTTTATTTTTACTTGTTTTTGATATTGTTTATTCTATGTATTTTATTGTAAGCTGCCTAGAGTCACATAAAAGTGAGATAGGCAGCTATATAAATCGGATAAATAAATACAATTTTGCTTTCTTTACTTTGGTCTGAATATGGACTATAGTGTAAAAAAAATACTAAGGTTTTATCTTTCAACACATACCCCATGTCTTAATCTGGATTAGAGCCCCTACATTTGCAATTCCTTTTTTTGACCCTAATTTACCACCTGTAAAGATTGCCACACTTGGGAATGAGGACCCCTTTGGCAAAGCAGTCCCCTCCCTTTTTACTCTGCAAAGTAGGGTCCCGATCCAGATCAAATCCCCTGTCCCTAAGTAGAATTAAAAAGGGGAGAAATGCAAACTGTTACCTATTGTCTTAAAATAATACTTTAACCTTTGACTTAAAAAACAAAAAAACACCCTAAAATGCTTCTGAGAGGCTGCAAACCTGAACTGCTAAACTGGTGAAGTTTTACCCTGGATTTTTTTTTTTTTTTTGCCTTACTTTGTCAGGGCAAAGTGGAGGTAGAAGCTGGCAAGGAGAACATGAAGTTTGAGACCGGGCCTTTCTCTTACTATGGAGTGATGGCTTTGAGTCCACCTGTCACAAGTAAGTTCCCCACTTCATTTGGCTGCTGGGGGGGCAGGAGGAGGCATAGAGAAGCTGTCAGATATCAGAGTGAGCCTCCAACTTTTTATTCATTGACTTACTGGTTTATTCAATATTTTGAATAAAGACTGATGAGGAAACAGCACTGATGACGTTACCTAGTTGGGTAATGAAACGTCTGCAAGCAAACAGCCAAGCTCAGAGAGCACCAAGGACTCCACAATTCAATATTTTTGCCCTGCCTGCCTCAGTCAAGAAACTCTCAGCAGGTTACAATCCCGACAATAAAATGTCCACAGTACAAGTAAAATGGCAAAGCAATAAAGAGTAAGCAGTCCTAGAAATTAAACCATAGATGACATCATAAAACAATCAGTCAAAAAGCAATGAAAATAGATGGTGGGATCCATAAATCATAGCCCCTCTTTTTCTCTCTGTCTATGAGCTGCTGTTCCCAATTTGTTTCAACAGACCTCATTTAGCAGCCCTGGAGATGGTAGGGAATTTTTATAGATTTTTTTCTGTTACAGAGAGGACTTAGATTGAGGCAGGGAGAAATCATTTGTAAGGGGAAGAAACTGGTCAAAAGTTGTGTGTGTTATTCATGTGTCACAAAGAGAGGTGTACAAAGGGGAGATGGTAGGGAGAGAACACACAGGGTCTGGGGGGGCTTAAAATCTGCAAGATGGTGGGTGTAGTGTCACAATCCAAGTCCCGCCCTTCTTGTATGCAAAAGGGTTGGGACTTGATCGCGGTGTCATGCCCCATGCAAAATCTTGCAGAGGTTGAGCCCCCCTGCAGAGGTCCATGGGGAAAACAGTCACCCGTACATTTATCTTCCTGACTTTCCATGTAATATTCCAGCAGGGGGCACATTCATGAAGACGCTTAACTTGGTTACTGAACTGACCCATTTTATGAGTTGATTTATCTCATGAACCAAGATTAAAATGAATCAAACATAGGAAGTTGTGCAAATGTGGCTGTTAATCTTTCACTGACCTGGATAAAGGCGTGGTACACGCCCAGCTAAAGCTTGCCCTGAATTGTAACATGGTTGGCAGGAAGTACATGATAGAGTTTGACATCCCCTCCTCTTCCCATTGCTGTAAAATACACTTCCATATTCCTGGGCTACCTACAACCTGGGCGTATGCTGAACGTTCAGAATGCTTTATGAAGTCCAAAAGCCACACTCTGGATTCTCCCCAATTTGGTGCCATCCAACTCTGTTGACTTCAGTTTCTATCCAAATCCCAGCACCCTGGAGGTCACCAAGTGGAGGCAAGCTAGAATAGGTCAGGGAGCCAACAGGAGGTGGCTTTCTGGTGGAGCAAGCATCCTGTTCCGCTGGGCAGAAGAGAAGGCAAGCAGGAAGAAATGGGGATGGGACACAAGGACACGAAAGGGCCGGATGGCAGAAAGCAAGAACCAGAAAGGTGAAAGAGAGTGGGTGGGCAGCGTGTGTTAGAAGGGGATGATGTGGCTGAAAAGTGTCCAGAAGTTGTAGCTGGTGCAAAGCCCAGCAGGACAGTTGTTAATTGGTGCAAGACCTCAGAATCAGGGCCGTGGAGTCGGCACACGAAACCTTCGACTCCAACTCCTTCGATGGTAGATCGATATAGGAAATCAATTATAAATATACTAATTATATATTTCCTATATCGACTGCAAGCATGCAACGTACCAGGCATTTCATCACTGCCTGCGTGAATATCTTGAAATTTGCAGAGAACCTGAAATTAAAATGCCTCCTGAAAAAAAATAAAATCGAATTATTATCTATGAGATAGGAAATGTTTACATATTATATTATTTATATTATATACAATTTAAATTTATTAGGAGTTGGAGTTGGTACATTTCTACCGACTCCGGTAACCCAAGAATTGCTTCCAACTCCACGACTCTGACTCCACAGCCCTGGTTGGAAGCACACGATGTCCACATTGAAAGACCGGCACTAGACACCCCTTGCTTTCCAGGGTGTTTGGTTTTTACCTTTAAAGCTCTAGTTTAGTGCCTAACTATTTGATTATTGGGGCACCAGCTGTCTGGCCATTAAGATCTGCAGCTGAAGGTCCCCGCTGTCAGACGCTTCTCTGCCTACACACAGAGAAAGGCCTTCTCCCACAATTTCGTTTTCATTTTCATTTTTTATGCTAGGCTTACATGCCAGTCCTATCACTTCCAACTTCAAATGCTTCCATAGTGAAGAGGATTAAAACAATTCAGATAACAAAGATTGCCAGAAAACAAGCCATCGATACTCCCAGTTCTTGGAATGCCCTCTCTTGGAAGTTGCAGTTAGTCCCTACTGTCGCTGCCTTTAAGAAGAGCACCCGGAATACATCTCTTTTACCAGATCTTCCAAAGCCATTGATTTTATTATTCCTATTTTCTTTTTCTGACTTTTTTTTTTCATTCTTTGTGTCTGGTTTTCAGCCCTAAGCCACCTGGTCTGTCCATTTTTAATGGGAAAAGGGCACATGAATCAAGTCCATAAATAATTGGAGTTGGCAGAGGACTTGGGTCAAAAAGTAGGCTCAGCTTGCCCAGAGGAGCAGCTGGGTCACAGATGGGCACCAGAGGGGCCATGCCCTCTGCTTGTCTTGATGAGTCTTGAGTTGACCCAATCAGAACAAGCTTTTTAATGCAATTGGAGGACTTGGTTGAAAGCCACATGGGATAGATAAAGCTGCCCTGAAGGGAGTTTCTCCCTCCTCCCTGAACTAGCAGCGTCATCTTTGACAACAGTTGATTCCTCTGGTTTTGATAATATTAAATGTTAGGGTTCTGCCATCTAGTGGCCGATGTCCAGCCTTATAACTTCCTCTGCAGAACGGGCAATGCTCAGTCTGCCACAGCCTTCTCCAACCTGAGGGCCATCAGATAGGTTGGACTTCAACTCCCATCATTCCTAGGCAGAAAGGCCTTTGTCCTTTGGCCATGCTGCTGGGGGCTGAGGGGAGCTGAAGTTCATCACTTCTGGCACCCACAGGGGTGGTCAGAAAAGGCAAAATGCCTCCCTTCCTTCCTTCCTTCCTTCCTTCCTTCCTTCCTTCCTTCCTTCCTTCCTTCCTTCCTTCCTTC